CCTGCTGAGCACAGTCCTTGCCTCCAGGTACTTGCTTCCAGCTCCCCTGAGCTCTCACAGAGGCTTTTCCCCACAGACCCCTCAGCTGTTCCCAAGCTCTTCCTTTACTCACTCTTGAGGTACCTCAGCCTCTCAGTGAGTACACAGCTGAGGGGTGGGAGCAATTATCCTCTCCTAGCAGATACTCCAGCCTTCCATCAGCTGGCCTAAGGCTATATTACTGCTCACTCCTCCTCTCCAGAAACACACATCCTAAAGCTCTTCACTCACCAACCAAGTTGTGTTGTGGGGTTTCTTCAGGCAGAGACATTGAACACGACTGTGAAGATATTCCCATGCATTGCATACACTAACAACAATAAACATCCACTGTACTTTAAAGATTAAGACTCATGAGAGTTGAACACCCAGCACTTTTAGGCTACAGAAACTCAGTTCAGTGTTCACAGAATAATTTCACTGCTATCCTTGAAGAATCCCTCCCTCACTACCATTAGGAAAATGGCAAGTTAGTATCACTAAACACAAATCTTATCTCCTTGTATGGTAGGCAAAAGACAGGCATCAGTGATGCTTCATGCTGTCCAAGGCATGTATTTTAACACTCACGATGCAGATCTAGGAGACTTTCTTAAGTACCATAAACTTAAGCTAGAGCCTACTCACTTACGCATTTCTTCTCTACTCCCAGGGAGCTCCAGCTCTACTCCCAAAGCTCCAGCTTTAGGACACCCAGGCCCTACCCTGTGTGAGGGTAGTAGATGTGGAAGGGGACCTGAAAAAGGAGCATGTAACTGATCCAACTGGTTCAAGGCCAAGGAAATGCTTGTGAGTGCACAAGGACCCTATTACACATCCCTTGTGCTTGTAATACATCATCTAGACACTATGACAATTTTGCCTCCTAGTTCAGAAATGTCAGTAAAGCTACCCTAGTCTGCAGGAGAGCTGTGTGCTGGTAACCTCCACAACCTCCAGGGAAAACTGTTTAGCTGGAAAGCAGCAGCAGAGAACAAATCTACCCCAAGCAGCTCCCTCTCTTCTCTGCAGCAAATGCTACCAAGTCTTTTCCACTCTGTGAAAGGCAGTTTGGTGCTTTCTTTCCCCGTGTTGCTCAATACTGGTCACTTTTTCAAAATCTTGAGACGAGCAGATGCAACTGTCTGCACTGTTTTGACTCTGGCAGCAGGACAGTGGCTTGTCTCACTGCCTGAGGACCCTGCCAGATGGCACCCAGCTATTACACCACTTGCCACTCAGCCTCCAGCCTGGCCATGCACGGCAGCCGTGGCAGGGCGCTGCAATGCCCACTCAGCCTCCAGCTGATATTGCCACACAGCTGAGGTTATAACCAGCAGAAGCAACTCAAAGCATCTGTGAAGAATTCAGCATTCAGCACCACAGGAACAGGGCTACTGCATTAGAATGATTTAAACATCTTTGGCCTATTCAGAACTGCACTTGGTGACACAGGACATCTCCCACCACGTCTTTGCCATTGTCTAGGTTATCCCAGCACTTCCTTTCCTTTCCCATCTATATTTGTCTACAAAAGTATTTCAAATGTAATGGTGAATTTTTGTCATTTAGATATACATGCCTCTCTTGTTAGTGAATAGAGCTCAATATAAAAGGCATTCCTAAAAATGGGTTAAAAAACAACCAGAGCCCACCATCTCTCTTATGATGTAAGTTTCTGAGAAACACAGGAAAGTGAAATTGCTGCCACTCCATTATTTCCACCACTTAAGTGGATAAAAGACAGACAGGAAGGTTATGCTTCCCTGAGTTTTTTCATTTACCGTTTTAGGAAGCCCCAAGGCCTGTAGGAACTCACTGAAGTGATGTGCCTATTTTTGTTAAGACACGTGCTTTTCAGAATAATGTGTAAACTCAAGCCTACGTGTGGTAATGAGCCAAGGTGGCTGGCCTGACATTCAGACTGATCACCTTTGAAAAATGACAACCACCATTTGGCAATTTTTTGTCTGGCAGAAGAAGAAACTACACTGAAATTTGACTTAATTGACTTAGTCTGAATATACAAATAAAACAGATCTCTAGTCAAATTCAGTGTAGAATAGAGGGCAAGATAGGATTTTATGGAACTTTTAAGGTCAGAATTAAAAATCCTAAGAACATATTTCAAAAAAAGAGAAACCAAAGTTTCCAGTATTTACAGGTTGATAAAACTGTTCCTGTCGTGCCCAGGATTTATGAGTGCAATTTGCTGTACTGCAGAACAAGTAATGCTGCAGGATGTGAGGTTTCATTACCAAGAAATGAGATCATGAATTGGCTGTGACTGAGACAGGTGAAAATAGATCTTCACCTATAAAAGCTCAAGTGTACTCTGCATTTTGCAGTCTAGACTGACCATACTGTTTTCTCATCAGCTCTTTCTGCTACACTGGAGCACCTGCTTGTAAATGAACTCTGTCCTGCTATCAAGCTGCAAAGCAATATAAAAATGTATGCCACATCTCCCGTTAGCACGATGACGCATTGCAGAGTATATGACAAGAATCCTCAGGGAATACTTTGGGATTAGACGTGAAATACAGCACAGATGGGATTGTTGGGTAAGGGAATTCCCTCTGACCCATATAGGGCTCACTCAGAACATTTAGCACTTTTACATCAATAAGCAAGATCAGGACATTTTACCTTGTAAATAGTTAAAGTACAGGCAAAGATACATGATGTACTTGAAAATCTGAAAAGATAGGACAGCTATAGAGATAAAAAACATAAAGAGTAACACAAATATCTAAGTAACAAATATTCTGTAACATGTAGGGAAGGTGAAGAGATATACAAACACAGAATGGACAAGAATGGAACTGCCATTCAAGTTGTTGGAAGCTAAAGATCAGGCCCCACTTCTCCTAACGTATGCTAACCTAAGACTGAAGCACAATTATTCTCTGCATACACTCACTCTCAAAATCAGCAGTTAAAATTCTTCATTTGCTCTCCAGCAGACTACTAGAGCTATAGCATTGTCTGCTGTTGAGAACCAGGTTACACAACCTGTAAAGCCTATAGAACTCCCAGACAAACCCCATGTTTGTGGTAGAATTCTGTGCCTTTCTGTCATGGCCTGTGTATCATTGTTGTCCTCAGTATCAAGGGTTCAGGTACCTGCAGGATTTGCACAGACACAGAGGGTAGGACTGTGCTAACTCCCCCTGAATTCCAAGGTGAGCTGGACATGACATGTAAGCCCCCACTTGACACAGGTCAGTGCAAGGTATTAGCATCATGGCACCAAGCTCATTGTTAAAGTATTGCACCAGTACATTCGGGTTTCCTTACACATGACTGAGTCTACCCATTGTTTTCAAGCTTGGAATTGGATTTTGCAATGCTTGTACTGAACTTCTGTAGCAATCTCTGAGGCTCCTTCTGACTCAAGATCTCTGTTCAGCTCCCTGCTGATCTAATATGCATTGCCAAAGCTTTGGTATCTCATAAATCAGCCAGATCTGTTATATTTAAAAGGAGACAATGATGGAGTCCCAGAACAGAATCAGAGTTTGCAAGGTCCCACAGAAGACACCCCTGGTGCCTCACAGAGGGGTCACTACAGCTTTGCTTAGGGTGTTCCAAAGATCCCCAGTGATTTGGGCTTCACACAATTTCCACAGGGCACTCTTTTTCCAGTGTCCTGCTATCCTTATTTTTTTGCCTCTTAATAAGAAACATGAACTTGTGTTGTTGCAATTAGATGCAATCACATCTTGTCCTAACCACCACAGACAAGATTAATCCCTCCTTTTAAAAGCTCTTGCAGACTTCTCTCACACTTTTTTCCTTCCCTTTAAGGCAAAAAAATAATTTCAGTCTTTCCATAGTACTGCTTACTATACCCTTAGTCACATCTGATGCTCTTTATTAGACTTTCTCTCCTTGTTCTACCATTTCTTGGAAATAGAATGCTTAACAACAGACAGTCTTCCAAGATAAGGCTTTACCTATGCTCACAAAAGTGAAGGTATTCCTTCAGACCACTTCCAAGCTTTGCAGCCACTTATACATCACAAGACAACTTCTTTGCAAAAGCATAGGTTCATCTCTTATTTCCATGCCAAGGCCACTGTTTCCAGCTCAGCCTACAGCCATTAAAGACCAGTAGTAGCTGGAATTTGGCAAATGAGTGCTAGTTGGTGGTCTCCACTCAGGTCCATATGGATTCCTGTACACTGCATGGACACAGAATATAGGACCAAAATTAGTGGCCTACTACTGCACAGCATCAATTTGCTCATATCTCCCAAACGTGTAGGTGGGGACTCCAGAATGAACTGGCTACATTTTGTACCATCTACATTTCCTACAGGAAGTCCACTATTTTAAGACTAATAAAGAAATGCTCCTGTTACCTTTGCCTACTTTTCACAACCACATTTCAGCCATCTCAGTGGTTTACTGTGACTTTCACAAATACCACACTAATTTAAAAAAAAACACTTATGCTTAAACACATGATTATGCCAACATTCACATTTTCTTTTTCTAGAGCACATTTTACACCAAGCACTTCAAAAATATTAAACCTTACAAGTTCTCTACGAAAAAACATTTACATTTCCTTTAACAGATGGAGAAACCACAGCTTAAGTCAACTGCCCAGAGACACAGAGTGAACTGATGGCAGTTTTAGACATCAGTCCTTTCTTATACTAAGCCCATTTATGTTGAACCTGCAGACAATGGACAGCTGTATAATGCTTTTCAACCCACAGCTATGCACAAAATCCATTTTTCTCCTTGGTAATGAGAAAAAAACACTACACAGAAAGAACAGTACTCAATACCAAACACACACTCCTCATCACAAAGTGAAATCAGAGACTAAAAGGAGAGCACTGTCCTTTCACAGACCTGCCTGCTGGCACCTACTCCCACACATGACTCTACACATTCAAACAAGTAATCCAGATCCACTCTTCCAGAGGAAAATGTGCCCTTTCTGAACCCTTTGGTTTGAACCTTACCTTTCCACAAGCTACCATGGACAGGGCAAGCTGGTACCAGAGGTGAAATTCATCAAATGCAAACTTCATGGCTCTCTCCAAGCACTGAGAAAGAAATGATGAAAGGAATATCAGACTTTATTTATTTTCCTTTATATATTTTCTTCCTTACACCTTTTGTCAAGACTGCTGCTTGGGTAAGGAAACAATCTGTTGTGGCCCTGGAGACCCAGGTGATTTTTTTTTTTAATGACACCATTTTGTTCCAGATTGCAGGGCAAGATGTATTCTATTACCATCTGTATGGCAGTTGTCTTTTGTCAAGTGGGCAGTTTGCCTTATCTCTCTCTCTCACAATCACTCCTCCCTTGGGAGGGGACATCTGATGATAACAGACTATTGAATGTCACTGCATGACTGATAAGAACTAAAGCATCCCATTGTGAGATGCTCCGCCCAGAGGGAGGGGCCAAGCATTGCTACCCAGATATAATCTGGAGGTTTTTTGAGACACCAGCACAGCTTCTCCACTGGATTCCCTAAAGGAACAGCAGCTGCCTCTTCTTCCACTGGATCTTTGGAGGAAAAACACGTCCTTTTCTACAGGACCCCTGCTCCAACAGAACCACACCTGACACTTCAGGAGGACTGCAGCCACAATTCTAATTGGACTGCTATCTACACCTCACAGGGTGTCAGGTTGGGTTCTGACTCTGTCAGTGTTGTTCTAGTGTACTGCATTGTTTATTTTATCCTTTTATTTTTCTTCCCTATTAAAGAACTGTTATTTCCTGCTCCCATATTTTTTGCCTGAGAGCCCCTTAATTTAAAATTTATAGCAATTCAGAGGGGTGGGGAGGGTTTACATTCTCCATTTCAGGCTCCTGCCTTCCTTAGCAGACTCCTGTCTTTCCAAACCAAGACACATTTACACTTCTCAGCTAATGGGACTTGCTAGTGTACACCATCGCTTCAAAAGGCAGCCACTTTTTCAAGTGCCTACACATACATTACATTAATGTCTCAGACAGTTCTGTGTGCTTTTCTGGCCTGTGCAGCCACAGCTCTGCAGCTGTTTCTGCTGACAGCACACTCCATTTTCACCTTCCCTGACAAACCACCACAAAGAGGGGCAGAGGCCGAGGGAGGTACCTCAGACAGCATCACATACTGCCCTCTTCTGCCCAGCGTGATGCTGAGGAGGTCGTAGACTGCAGAGGCGTCCCGGAGGCTGACGGCTCGGTCATCCTGCTGCTCTGGGGCGCGGCTGATCACTGCGTCCCGGTTCGCCTGCGCACACACAAGAGAGCCGTCAGAAACCAGGAGAGAACAACAAAACTGACTCCTCCATAGGAAGCTACACCCACCACTCATTGCATTTTGTTTAAAATCGTATCAAGATTTTTTTTTTTAAAGTTTATCCCACCATAACGGAGGTGCTTCCACAGAGCTGCTTTCTACCCACATGAAGGAAACTCAAGAAGATAGCTGTACCTACAGGAAGGAACTGCTACACATATCTCATCTGGATTTGTGTCACAGAATTAGAGCATTATGAAACAGACCTACCAGATCCCATTTCCTCAATAATTAGAAATTCAAGGCCATCCTTAAACCATCTTCCTTATTTTCTCATTAATTAGAAATTCAAGGTCATCCTTAAACCATCTTCCTTATTGCCTCCAACTGTGATAACTGCTTCCAAGGTTGATAATTTATCTTCCGTGTCCACACTAGATTTCTTCACGTAGCATCCATTTTTGTTGTTCTTTTTTGCTACTGACCTTTTATTGCCTAATTTGAGCAGGTTGCCTAAGTAATCAGATTTGCCTGTCATCAGCTTAAAGCAATTAAAGGTTTGGGCAATGCAATAACAAATTGGTTTTGTCAAATATATAAAACATGTCTTAATTTTTCTAATCTATCAGTACATTGCTGGGCCTAGATCAGGAAGAAACATTACTTTTGACAGAACCAATCAGTTCAGCATTTTCTGACTATGTCCCAAAATACCACATGCCACAGACTCAGATTTACCCCCGAATCCCAGCCCTTTGTGCTTTTCTGAGCACAAAGAGGGAGATTACAATTCCAGAGTAAACTGAAAAGTCCTTCTGATTTGCAAACACAGAGGGCCTCACCCAGACTACCCAGCCTCTGGGAGAGGCAGTGCTGGATGCCTGAGCACCATCTGATAGCACAGACACACTGCCCTGGGCTCCTCAGCTGAGAGGGGTGCAACATCAGACACTCGAGTCTAGACATCTAAAACATCAGAAAAATTAAGAAAATTGCCAACAAATTCACCTTGAGCAAAGGCAAACAAAATGTTCCCTCCTTGAAACAGGAAGGTTATGAGATTTATTTTACAATACAACTATAATCTTACACCTATTTCTTTCTAATTGTGGTGAGATATTTTTTCTGTAAAAAGGTTAAACATGGGAATTAAGCACAATAAAAATTTCCAGAATATGCAGCCCTTAAAGCCCACGCGTACTTCATTGTGATTAAGCTGCAGCTGTTTCATCATGATTTTATCTGTGTAATGCCCCAGTTCCAAGCACTCTTCATCACAGCCTCCAGCCAAGACTGCAAACAAAATTACTGACAACTAATGCAATCTCAACCAAGAGCTAAATGGTGACTGCAGCTAAAGGCAAGCTGACAGATCAGACCCAGTCCAGTGTTTGCACGAATAAACTTACAGCAACTCCTGCAGCCACAAAGTCATTTTTCTTTTTCATGCTACTGCAAAAGATGCAATTCATGATTAAAAAAATAGTTCAGAAAAACAGAATGCATGACAGAATGAAAACTACTTCAAAAATTCTGCCAAGAGTACAGAGGCATAGCTTGTCTATCTTTATTAGCAGAATTTTAAAAAATTAAAAAATAAATACATGTTTAAGCTCTGCTTGGATTTAACATAAGACTGCTACTTTAAAAGGAAAAAAAGGAGTTAAGTAAAGCCATATACTGTATGATCCTTATTGCCAAGTGAATCCTCCCACATATATACAATAGCATTAGCAGCTTTTTCTGCACCGGTTACATTGTTATGACAATTGTTTGTAGCAAACAGCTACTGAGACAGCACCCCCATGCTCTGTAATCTCATCAACAACCTCCCATTACAGTCAGCTACAGCCTGATGCTTTTTTGAGTATCCATCAAGTACCAAGCTATGATTTTTAAGTGGATGCATTAGCATAGATACAAAACTAATCAAAACTTATGACTGCCCATCATGTTTTGCCACAGATACTGGTACTAGAATGAAGAACACACCCCAGTCCTGCAAAAGCAGGAATATAGGGCATATTGCAAGGATGCAACATTCTTAAACTGCAGTATGATATATTGTATATATCATACTTTACCCAAGCAGACAGCAGTTAAATGCAACATATGCATAGGCATGATGAATATTCTTTCCAAGAAGGTCATAAACCTGCTGATTTTGTTCAAGCTTTTAAATCTAAAAGCCATAGAAGGTCTTTGCAATCTATCACTCTCTATGCTTCAATGCATAAAAGTTGCCACTAGCAAATTCATTGTTACTTCTATCTCAACAATTTCTTCAATACCGAACCTATTCCCAATTGCTAATTCCAGCTGCTCTAAAAAAATAAATCAAGAGCCCACATTATAGTAGAGACATAAAAACCCCACAAAATCCAAAAATAAAAGGCGCAAACCTCATAAAAAAAACTGACTGAACAGTAGCAAGAATATGGATTGTTTCTAACACAATAAGGTAAATTACTGTCCTAAGTAAGGCTCAAGTGCAGCGTACGTACAGAGGTCAGAGAAGGGAATGTGAATCACTATTTCCTGAAACCCACTCAGGAAACTGGAATGTCTCTATGGCCTGCCTCTCACAGAAGGCAGGCTGCTGTCCCTCAGATCATCATCAACCTTTTTATTTTCTTTGCCTTTGTTTATGTTTTTGTAAATATTAATCTGTCAGTGAGAAATCCTGACAGTCACTGACAAGTACAAGGGCAAAACAGTTGCAGAGTTACTGCAATAAAGAATACATCCATTCTGTGGGATGGGGAATTTTACCTATTGAAACGTACACAGAGAGATACATCATTTTGCATTTGAGAATGCAAAAAATTCTAAGCTATTAACACCAACATTTTTTCAACACCCATATTTCTGTTGTTTCAGACTACTAATTTTCCTGAACACCATCAGAAAAAAGGTTATTTGTACAACACCGGTCTCAAGCAGTGTATCCATAACATAAGCAGCAATTTCAATTTGTCCGACTGCATTATTTCCTCCCTCTCCACTATTAGCAGCAGTAAAACATAGCTACAAATACATTTTCAACATCCCCACCATGACTATTCCTTTTAAGCTGTTCCCACTATCACACAGACATGCTTCACAGCATACAAGCAGGATGAAGAGAGATGACAAGTCACATCTAGAGAAGCTCCGTTCAAGGCTGTTTTGCGGGACGGGGAAGGTTACCAGTGCTACCAACACAAGTTTCACCACTGGGAATTAGCATAACTTGCATTATAAAGGCAAAAATATACAGTAAATACCCCTTTTTTGGAAGTATTACAAGGTAACTGAGCAACCCAGAGACATATCAGCAAAAATATACAGTAAATGCCCCTTTTTTTAAGTATTCCAAGGTAGCTGAGCAACCCAGACATGCATCACACTTGGAAATTTTGGGATGCATAAGGCACAATTAGCTGTGCACATAGGTGGCTCAGACATGACACCAGTCCTATCTGGGGAGATTGGACACATTGTGCAGTTAGCCCAGACTTAGGACATGGAGAATCTTCAGCCCCCTCTCCACAGCCCAGTGACACAGCCTGTCTGCATGCCACACACCCCCAAGGGGCTCCAGCCCAGGCTGGTAGCTCTGAGCTAACCCAGATTCAGGCCCTGTGGTGTCTCTGAACCTGACAGGGCACAGAACCTGGGGGTCAGCAGGGCTTTTCAGTCTGGCTCCAAACACAGCAATGCCCCCATAGGGGACTTTCAGACCTGTGCTGGCTCTACCCACAGTGCTGAGCTGCACACAGCTTGGGCCTTCCTACCCACACACACAGGACACTCACCTGCAAACTAGATAAACCCCCCATCCACAGAGGATTTGCTGTACATCAGTGATATTTATTTATGGCTTGTTTATTTCAGGAAGGAAGGAAAAGAGCCACAGCAAATCCAAACAGCCATTACTTCAGCAGTTATTACGCACACAGTTACACTGCAGAAAATTAAATTTACCACGGTACAAAGATGTGTTTCTTAATAAAACGTCAAGTAATCATATGAATTACAATAGAGTATATTCCATGTAGCAGCCCCTCCTCACAGCAATTAGCTATGAAGTATCCTTTAATTGCTCACTTTGAAACATGGCTTCCCCTGCTTTTTTCCAAAGAAGAAAAAGAAAGCAATTAAAATCTTTAATGAGTGCCTGCTGCCTGCCCCCTAATTCATGGGCATTCGAATGTTCAACTTGTGTCTTTTCATAATAGACATAATTGCCAGATCCACTGCAACCCATCTATACAGAACAGCAGCATGTTTTACACAGTGTACTGTAATAATGTAATTGGTGTGATTCAATACTACCATTAAGAGAGAAAAACAAATGCCGTGTGTGTAAGATTGACAACAGCCCTTTGAAATCATGCAATTGATGCCTTTTCTGCTAAGAGCTGGGGAATATTTAGCCTATATCCTTTGGGTCTCCCTTCTGGCTGTTTTGCCTGTACTGCCAATAAAATAAATTAATTCTTCACAATGGCAAGAACCTGTCCAATACAAGAGGCTACAGACTTTTTGCCTAAGTTACTAATCATGTCTACACAGCACCTGAAGGTTTCCCTCACTAACATATGCAAAGAAAATATTAAGGGTTGACTGCACAGCTGCTGTGAAAATAGCATGTGGGTAGAACAGGGAGGACAAACCATGCCCCAGGAACTCACAAAATTCCTCTCAGAGAGATAGTACAACTCATTCCACTTTAGACCAGAAGCACAGCAAATGAAAACTTATCCCCTTGTGAACCACATGGCATCTGTCTCATTTCTGGTAAGCAACAGACCAGAAGTTACTGGGGTCCAATTCAGATGTCAATTCATCAAAACAGCCCCTTATAATTGCCAATTAAATATGACCACACAGATATATTTTACATGTTTCAGGTGCATTCTAACACCTTGTATTGTAGCAGAACTAATTCTGGAAACATCACTGAAAGCAAGACAGACATACAGCCCCATACAAAACAGCCAAGCAACCCTACACAAAATGAAGACAGAGAAGCAGAAAGTAAGCAAATTTGTTTATGGATATTATCTTGGGTAACAAAGTCATCCATTTGCTAACAGTTATCTGGATTTAGAAAGCTATCTTCCAAGAATTTACATCCTCCTTGCAAGTCTGGAAACAAGACTTACTTGCAAAGCAGAAGAAAAAAAGCTCTCATACCCTGCTCTCTAGCAACTCACATTAGAACCATTCATTTAAGAGGTAATTAGCGGAGGTAGCGTATTTCCCCCTAGAAACATTCTGCAGTCCATCTTTGCAGGTCCCAAACACATAGCTTTGCCTTGCAAACCAGTTAAGAGACAGCCAAATTTGCTACTGTAAATGCACAAGTGTGATTTGGCAGGAACCAACAGAGCAGGCCACCCTGCCCCCAGTTGTCTCTCAGCTGCCACAGTCCAATGGCCCTCAGTAAAATAGTCATGATGGTCATCCAGCTGCTGTATCATCACTGGGCTTGGTGCCATTAAAAAAAAAGGGAAAAAGGAAAAACCAGCCTACAAAAACAACAAGAGATTCTTCTTCACCAACTCCTTTGTTGGACAGTGTTATTTTATAAAACTAGGAACTGAAGAGCTAACAGGTTTTATTTATTTCTGTGTTTAAAAATACACGGGTTTAACATTATTCTGTTAAAGGCATGCTCTCAGCCATGAGTTTGTTCTCACCAGTAAAAAGAACAGGACAAGTCCCAGTATCTTTCTTCCCCCTCACCATCTGTTTCATGCTCTCAGGCCCTCCAAGGTCAAATCGCCTTTAGGGACTCAAATCAGAGATAAGATGTAGATGACATTTCTAATCTTCGTTACACAGGCACAGAATTTATTAGTTTTGGATACAAGGAGCTTTATTTCCAGTATGAATGAATACAGAGCCAAAAAAAATAAACCATGTTACCTGGTTTGTTTGGTGGACCACATCAGCCAAAATCCCCAGTTGTAAGAGCCAACATTGCCAGCACTGAATAAAGGCATTTCAGACTGTATGTTGGACCTCAGACTCAAGAAGGGAAGTTTTCTAAATGCAAACAAAGAACTTTTTCCTTTCTTTTTCAACCTCAAAAGTAAACACAAAAAAGTAATACTAAGTGTTCCATTCCTGGCTCTGAGAAGCTTCTGGCTAACTTTAAGGGTAGTGCAGTCAACTGCACACTCTTGAGAACAGCTATTAAAATAAACAAAACTGCAGCTAAGGGTTAGTCATGCCAAACCTCCTCTGTCTACACCCTGCAGCTCAAAGCACCCAAGTCCCTGATGGCAGAACCAGTCCTGCTCCCTTTGGTAGGTGAAGCAGAAAAATCACACTGCATCAAGTGACAATATGTCCTCAGTTCTCCTCACAATCAGTGTCACTGGTTTAGATGGGCTAAATACAGTAAAAGAGAGGACTAGTGGTTTAAAAATAGGCAGGGCCATGTTTCTCCAACACGTGATAGGAGCACATCATTCTGCCACAGCCTGAGCTTGTAAAGGCTGTCACCAACTGGCCTTCTTGGTCTGAAGGAGAGCATTTTTGTCCTCTCAGAAACACAGCCCATCCATACCATAACTTAGGCTATACAAAAGGAATGATAGAGCAGCCAGGAGGCCACAAACACCCATAAAAACAGCTTTGACTGTGGCAATCTTCAGGCTGCCTGATTTGTTTCACTAGATTCCTTCATGAGAACTCTACAGCCAAAGGCTGTGACTAAATAACAGCTGGCACAGAGAAGGAACATTTGCCAAGCTCAACAACCAGGATTCTTCTCATTGTTTACTGAGATACCTCAGCTTATGAAAATAGGTTCCCATTTTTAACACAACATAAAGAACACAGGAGGCAATTTGTGAGATGCCAGGGCAAAGCAGGCTACAAGCTTTCACTGAAAGTGTTAATATATCCACAGAAGCATCTGCAAAGCCATGAAAGAGGATACCATGTTATTTGGCCATTTGAAAACCTTTCACATTCTTAGGCTCAAAGGCAGAGTGAAATAGTGAAAGAACTGTAAATTGCCTCTTTCGAATATATTCTCATTTCATCCCACCAGCATATGCAAACTGAGTCCCTTGCAATGCAAGGGAAAGGGATAAGTAACCACAAGCCAGAACTGTCCACTATTAAGAGCCAGAGAAGGTTTGGTGAGAAATAGGCTCTGGCTTTCAAGAATCTCAAGGCAATTTCTTGCTTTCTCCTTCACAGGAACAATTCTACTCCCCCATAACATCTTCTTGGAAGTCACACAGATTCTGGCAAAGCAGATGTCAGCTTCACCTTAGGAAGGCAAGTCAAACATAAAAACAAAGTGGATTTCAACAGCAAAGGTGTTCCAGGTGTATACTTCTTGAAAAAGTACCACATCTCCTTTTCAGCACATATTTACTTAGAGGTTTTCTGATGATTTAGGCTCCTCCTCAGTTCATCTCTACTCTGTGTCCCCTCCACAAGCTGAAATTTTTTTCTGTGTCTCCTTCCCCTAATTCTGTCTCTCTTCAAGGTAATTTTAGAGTGGTAGGAGTTAGGAACAGATATGCAAAGCAGCTGTTTGGCTTTACAGTCCTGCAAGAAAGTTGCAATGGCCCTACTGCTTTTGTCTCATTAAAAATCAGTGAGAAGTACCACCTTTCTGGTCAGTTTTGCTCTGACAGACAGAAGCATCAGAGAAGCCAATGTAATTGCATACTTCTGTTTCATTTTAAGGGGTTCACAATTGTAAATACTGGAAGAACACCTAATCCAGTCAAAATCCAACAACGCCAACTATGTTGCTTACTGGCCTACAGAAACACTTGCCATTGACATTGTCTCCCGGAAGCAAAGTATGTTTTATTCAGTTGTTAATATTGTATCATTAGAGAGAGACCTCAATTACAAATTTGCTTCCAGTTAGCTCATTTCATGAGCTTCCATAAATTCCTTTTTTAAAGAAAAAAATACATAAAACTAAAAACCAAAACTTCAAACAAACAACAAACTTGTACATGAGAAAACTCACTAGCCTACAGCAATGCCATTAGGGAAACATGTCACATTGTAAGTTAAACAAAACTTCCCCTTCTAAGGTACCATAATAAAAATGTACAGCAAAGTATTTATGGATTACAAACATATGTAAAAATTAGATTGCTCCCTCTGTTCCTTCACTAAGGAAGAACATTCATGTGATTCCTAAGTGTATTTCTATACACTTGTCCTGAATTTTAGTTAGAACAAACTCGTGGCAAGGCTGATGCAAGATGAAGGCTCAGATGTTCCATCTCCCCAAAATCAGAAATACAGTTATTTGGCTCCTACAGTGCTCTGCTAAAAGAGCTTCTCTTGTTTGTTTTGTATGTAGCAAATCAAAGTGCCTTGCATCTTCCTCCAGGAAGTTCCTATATATCAAAAGCAGCATTTAAGCATATACCAAGCTTACTTATTCAACCTGGAACTCACCATAGCATTCCTGTTTCTACCAATACCATTTTCACACTACTCCATCCATAATTTAGTTACAAGACCAGTTAGTTCAACATTTTACGTGCTATTAGATAGGGATAACTTTTTCCTCCTCAGCAGAACAAGATTGTGGAGTTTGAGGTTCCATATGGACTCTCTAACAGCAAGTCCAATCCCAGAAAGGCTGGAGCAGCCCGTTCTGTCACTGCTCCAGACCCCAATCCTCCTGCTGCTTGGAGCAGCCCCAACAAGGCCCACTGACAGGAGTGCTTCTGATTTTAATACAAGTGCACACGATATCCTACAAGCCCTCACTCCTCTAGTCTCCATTTCTAATTATGAAAAGCCCTTCTGACTAAAGAAAAACCCTTGAAAACACAAAGCAGATGTGATGAAGAGGTTTAATCTAGAAAGCACTGAAAAGCACATAGCAACACTCAGATGTACATGATTTTGAAGTCAATTTAATATTTTGGGTTGGTTCCACCTCTTCAATTTTTCCCTGAATTTTAAAAGCAGACAATATTAAATTGCCCTCTTCTGAAGAAGTTTGTGGGAAAGGGAAAGAACTTGTGCCAGAAGAACCAGACAAGAAAAACTGAAGGAAGCAAAAACCAAAGTTTCCACAGTATTTTTTTCAATTTGTCTGAAAGTTATTAAAAATTTTCTAAGAAGGTTGTTGATGTTCCAAGGTTTTGAATCTCATTTTGAGGTACAAGTGACCACCTTGTATTTAAAGCAAAATACACATTACTTACATATTTTCAGAAAACATTTCTTCCACATTTTCTGTGCATTTGCGTCTTCTCAGAATATGAAAATTACCAAAGGTCACCATGCAATTATTTTTCCTCCAGTTTTCTGCCTGCCTCTTAAATGGATTTTTTAAAGCCACCAACGTTATAAATAGAAGAAATCTAATTATTTCACTGCAGCTTATTATGAATGTTTCTGCATGTCACAAGATTTCCTGTATCACTGCATCAGAAACTGTCAAAAAACAAACAACTGCAGACGAAGGCATGAAAGCAGAGTACTGCATCCTGCAATTCCAAACAGCAGGTACCACCATCATGCCTGGCTTTAGGCAAGGCCTCTTCTTCTCATTCTTGATCCATAAATCCACACAGATGTTACAAATGGAAATGTCTGTCTACTGACAATGTATCTGGATGTCAGAACCTGCATACAGCTATGGTGAATGCAATCAATGTCTCTTATTGACAATTCCCAAAACTCTTCACTGAAATTCCACTCTAAAAAAAGTAGTTCCACTAATAAAAGAATAGATAGCATTTTCCACTCAGCATCTGAAACTTTGCTCCTGTTTATCTAGGGAAGATTCTGTAAACAAAGCCAACCAGGAGACATGGAAATGCTAGATATCCCTTTGCACGATTAATACCACAAACTCATTTTGGCTTACCATGGATTCACTGATTAGGAGGAGGAGAAGAGCCTCTTCTACATTGTCTTGAGGGCAGTACACACTGAAAGACAGAACACATTTTTCTGAGGAAGATCAAGAGTTATCCTGCCAGCCTCTTTCTCATTTCACAAGAGAAGCAGTAACTTGAAACATCTAATGAATAATTCATTTGCTAGGCAATACTGTCTTTGCAAGTTCACACAATTAAAAGCTCTGCAATATATCTTAGATGAGCTATGCTGAACCCTAAATAGATTATTTCAATTTCGTAGCAAAGACAGCCCTTTGGCTGGACTTGCTTCTTCCTGGGGTGGGGGGGAAACACTCAAAGTTTAATATTTTATTTTTTTAGCAGACTTTTTAGTGGAGAGTTGACAAACAAGAAGGCACAAAACTACTACATGAATCAGTGACATAATTAGTAGTACTGAAGAGTGTTCAAATACATTCCTTCCTCCTTCCAATGAACTGAAATAAAAATGAACACTTACTTCTCTTCTGAGTACAGCTCAGGCCTCCGACAAAGAAGATTGCTAACATAAGACTGATATTCCTTGTTCATGAACTCAGGAAGTGGATCAGATAAAGGGCTCCAGTAACAGTCTTCACTGAGGGAATGCAGAAGTACTTGAGCTAACTGTTTGGCTGCAGTCTAAAGATCAGTACAGAAAAAGACATAAATCAGTGAAACCTTCTCCAACACAAAAGATTCACTCCTCACCATGTTCCACCTTGGGAAGGAGATGTACCAGTGTGACAGCACCACTCTTCAGAAAGCTGGAGTAGCAAAATCAGCTGCTAGGGTCGACAAAAGGATCAGTTTCTTCCTTCCTGAGAAAAGACCAAACTTCTGCATTTACATGGTCTTGTTGCAATGCTCTAGGAAAAAAGTTATCAAAAAGGCCTGACATCAAGGGATGCTTTGGTGAACAAGGACAACTGATTGCCATATGGACTGCTGAGACAATCTCCCAATAGTTACTATATAAGAGTGTGATGACACAACATTGTGTTCTCAGCCTCGGAATTTTGTATGCAAGTCTCAAGACCAGAGGCAACGTTTGTGTTAGCTTTAAAAGATCAACCTTTTATCTGTTAATGTCACTCTCCCTTATAGACTCAGAGTTTCGTCTTGGTACTGCTCCTCTCTTCTTCTTGCAGCAAAGGAGAGAGGAGTGAAGATGCTTAGGAACTTTATAGTGGGACAGCAACATCCCATGCACTTTTTTTACCATCAAGCAGCCAAAGACCCTTCAATAGCTGCTTTCCGCTTCATATGCACAGCTGGCAAGCTGGGCCCAAAAGGAGGCAAGTTAATTCACTTCCCAAAGTATCTTTGGCATTTACCCTTGCCTGATACCCATCAAATCTCTAATTTCTTGCACTGTACATAGATGAGCCTGCAAACAAGCTCAGAGACATCACAATGGGTGATGTCCTCTGTGAATTCTAAGCAGCACACCACTCTATGCTGTAAGTAAATCCTGCACAAAACAGAGGGCAGGCTGAAACTTCAGCCCTTCTGTCCTAATACTTGCAAATAGTATTTTGCAACTTCTCTGACTACTGGATATGCATTTTATATGAAATGTACACTTAGAGATGTATTATGAGCCCACCAACAGTAATTGTCTTTTAAATATCAGGACAGTTATGTTATAGATGTCATACCTCAAAATCTATGGGATCAAATAAGCCACACTTAAAGTTCCTATTCCAAATTACAGCAAAATATCTTGCTTTGATGCAAGACTCCTGATTTTCACCCCCCTCACCACACATGAATTCACTGAATTAGTCTAAAATGCAACTACAGTACCACCTCTTAAACATCACAAAGGAAGGCTTCATTGATGGCAGTGGGCTGAGTGTACAACAGTGTCTCAAAGAAATGTCACCATGTGCAACTCCCTGGAAACCCCAAGACCTTCCCTGCCCTGTTACAAGTTACAGAAAGCTGTCTGTTTCTAACTAAGCTTTTCTATGCTTTTTATAGCAAGTAACTATGAGCAAAATGGCCTAGGGCCCTGCAACATTAGCCAGTATCATTTTATCATCTCAGTGTGTAATCATTTAGTCAGTTTTACCCTAAGGAGTCAACTCTCCTATATTTTTTTTCCTATAGTCTTAGAGGGGAGGGAAAATAATTTGCCAGCAATACAAAGATCTCTACTGGTTCACACAGAAGTAGGAGTACAGTTTGTGGTAAGCCATTCAGAAGGCAAGCAACAAATACTTCTAGTGTCTTTAATTTTAACATACAGTACAGTAGCTGTGTAAATTAGCTTCACTCTTGTTTTGAATAAGACCAAACAAACCAGAAAAGGCCAAGACTCTGATTTATGTTATTACTGCCTTTGGCTAAAAAAAGCATCATTATGCTTGAAGAACACTGTGATCCCACAAATTAGGAGAAAAAAATAATCATGTGTTTTACTTTCATGCTTGAAAAACTTGTTTAATTAAGCACAATTCTCCCTTTGCCCTCTTGATGGCTCTTTAAAAATAAATAAGAAAATGAAAATGCAATTTCTAAATCTCAGGAAAAGCTATTGAATGAACACCTTGAGAGTTCCCCTAAGGGACAAATCCCCCAGGGGAGTTGTACAGCTGTCCCAAGTTGCACAGGGACAGGAGCAATTGAGCCACGTTCTGTCACAGTCTAGGAGCAGCAGATGGTCAGACTTATTTCAGCAAAGTGATAAAACAGGCAAGCACAAAAATTCTGCTGAACTCTGATCTCAGTTTGGAAAAGGATGCAACCATTTGAGTGGACAATTATTTAAGTCATCTCTTCTAATTTGCTGGACAAGCTTCCACATGCATCTGTAGTCTCAAAAACACTACACAAACCCATGCCCACCTCCACTGCCCAAGTTCTCTGGAATGACACAAAACACAAAGCAGAATCAAGTACAAGTTTAGCTGTAAGAGTATCAATGCCTTTAGGGCTGCAAAGCTTTCACTCCCAGGACTGTTGTTCTGCAAGCTGTTGACCTTGTCACCTCCTGAGTAACTTCAGGACAAGATCTCTCCAAGGGGAGACAGGGAAGAACCCATTAAAGGTCCAAGAAGTTAAACAGGCACAGAAGTATTTCTTTACCTGAGACATTCAGGATAAAAGGATATGAAGATGCAGAATGCCAACACAAAGAAAAAATTAAAACAATTAAAATCACTCTGTACTGTATTGAAGAGGGTTTTTACAGAAAGAACACTGAAAGATGTCAGTCTAAAAAAGCACTGCCTGTTGCAAGAGACAGAAGTACTTAATGCTTTACATGAAAATGCAGAAAGGTGTGCATACACACTGAAACTGAGAAAGAAAATAAGACAACTTCACCTGAGCACAGCACTGTCAAACTAATAACATCTCTGTTTCTACTAGGGCTAGAAAATGCACTGAAACCAAGAAAGCAAAACAATCAAACAAAAAAAAAAACACCAAAAACCACAAACCAAACAAAAGTAACCTACACACCTAGGTCTGAAAGCCTGGAGGTTTCAATTGGGCAGGTCTTTGAATTAAGGGGATCACTTGACATACCACTTCCAAAAGTTAAAAAAAGAAAAAAAAAAAGAAAAAAAAATAAAGCCAGCAATCAATCATGTGAGGACAAATACACTTTTGTGCTACTCATTGGTCAATGAAGAGAATTCCTGCATACCAGACTGTCCCACCCTCCCATCTCCCATTCCCTTACCATTTTGAAGGTCTGAGTAGCTTTTGTTTCTACAGTCCGTAGTATTTCTCGCAGACTCCTCATTCCTTTCACAATATTTCTATGAGGAAGACAGAAAAAAGATAAAAATGGAAAACCCCCAAAATCAGCACACTGGAGACAGAATATTTTTATGATGTGCCAAAGCTCAACAACACACCTGAAGTTCAAGCAACCCCTGAAAAAATCACTGAGTGAGCAGTAGCGAGACAAGTCACTCTGAGGCACAGCCAGGACAATGGCACAGAGCAAGCAGTGACTGCAGCATTGCCTACTCCAGATGGCTTCCTAAGAGAAGATCACATTCACATTTGATGAACAGAGGGGACATTTGGAAGCCTTTCATAGCTCATATTTATAAAGCAGATGCTGCTCCTTAAAAGCATCCACATCTCTTCTTCATACACACAGATTGTACTTGTTTGAATTATATTGAGCTTACGTGATGCTTTTAAATGACGATTTCTTTTAGGTGGTGCTTAAATGCTTTGTGTCTGATGGTGCAGGCACATGATGAAATTACAGTGGTTTAAACAGTTAATTATCAGGCAGCTAAGTTGCAGTAACCATCTGCAAGCACAGCCTAACCTGCAGTAAAAGGGTTAGACTAAAAAACCCAAATTTAAAAAAAAATCATTATTTTGCATACACCATGAGCAATTAAAGCTGACTAGTTGCCAAATGCTATCTTAATTGTGCCTGTGCACTCTGAGAGATACAGAGAGGAAAGATTAAACACTGTACATATCAGTTAACACACTGGCAGCCTATCAGCTGTTGAAGGCTAAGGACATGGCCCCTCCACTACAGTAACTGCAAAATGGTTCAATGCACATTCATTGCAGGGTCAAAGCTACCCAAAGACATACAAGCTAGCAGAAAAGAAGCAATGTTGGACAAGACAACAAAATAAGCAGTTGTACTGGTACATTAACTGTCACTTCAGCTTATCCAGGAGAATTTTCTGTGCAGACGAAAGCTAAACTTCATTTACAAACAAAGCCATAAAAACCTTCTCTGTCAAACTGATTAAATTTTGAAGGTAAGCAGTACAAACTGCACTTGTGCCTGCTTTCATGCACTGCAAACCTTCTTGCACTCCAGAATCAACAGCAAACATTTCATGGCAACAAAAAAAAAGGCAATTATTTTGGAGGTGCATAGATAAAAATGTCATCCTGTTTACCATGAATATTGGCTACATAAAATGCCACCCTAAAGCTTGTAGTTACCATGACACAGACTGCAAATGCATATGGCCTTACTTCCAAGCAATACTTATCTCAGTTTCAAATTGTGAGGTAATCTGTAGACTGTCTAATCATGGGCAGTGTACAGGCACACAAGAAAGTAAGACAAGAGCAAAAAAGCTGAAGACTTGTAGAGAAAAGTCAGATGCTGTCTTTTTTCTTTCCAATTTCTCCCAAGTAAAAAATGTGCTTGGAGTTTATCAAGAGGAAAAAAGGTCAAGAATGTTTTTTAAAGTTGGACTTAAATACTTCAGCAAGCATTCCAATGACAGGGCCAAGACACCAGGAGCTTTTTTGTGGCTCTAGAATAGAATATACCCACGAAGACGCAGTTCTGGACCTTATACACAAGTAGTGACCAAATCCAACAGAACTGCTTACATGGCATTTACTATCAGATATAAAAAATTAATAAATTCCTCCATCAAAACACAATTCAGCTGCCCAACTGCTCTTCCTGATTACTGAAAACTACCAGCATTTTCTGTTCTTCCATGGGCTCCTTAGAGGCTGGACAGAAGAGTTATGGGGTATAACAGTTCTACAGCATTTTCAAAAATACATTTATTTAGGTCTCCTGTTAGCATAATGATATTTTTCTTAAAAAAGTGCCAATGAATTGCATTAACCAACATCAGGAAGAAGACAAGTGACCACTTGCAAAGCCAATTAATTTCACATTTGGCACATACTTCCAAGATGTGGAAAAAGGTGATAAAATGAGACAGTTTTGTTCCTAGAAAACTGAGGCATCATTACAGTTCAACATTTTAGACAAGGCCATAAAACAAGTTAAGCCTCCTGGCAGAAACACCTTGCTCTGGGGTGGGAAGAAGGGGAGAAGAAAAACAAGGAACGGACACACCGAAGTGAATGAAAGGCTAAATGGCAAATTGCTGCCCATCTCTCAGTAGTCAGGGCTGGAACCATGCAGCACATGACAAATGCGTAGGAACACCATTAACAGAAGGCAGGAGTGCAAAATGGGCGGCACAGGAGGAGCACCCAGCACTCACCACCTCCCAGACAGCTGCCCATGTGGTCAGGATCTATCAAAGAGCACTCACTCCATCCCCTGAGCTCTCAACAATACCAGTTCTACAGGACTGAGGATTTGGTTTGGCAGCTTTTGTATTTTGACCTTTATCAAACATGACTGAGCTGTGACAGGAGACAGAGCACACCTGCCTGCAAACACAGGAGTTTGTCTTTCCACTCTACTGTTCCAAGCCAGGAGAGCATCTGAGCACATTTCATTTTGAGCATATGAATTGCTCTGCTCATAACAATAATGAACTCACTGTTCCATTAATATATGCCCTTTATATACTAAATGTGCAATTGAAGGGACTTTTTTTTAATTAGGACCTTAAGAAATTAACAAAAAGTATGTATTTGGAACAGAAATACATGCTATGTAGGTGACTGGATGAGGATGCAGTCATAAAGCCTCTGGCAATCCATGGTGCAAACACTTGATCTTACTTAGATTAGAAACTAAACAATCTTGAGCCTCTGCAGGACTTGGATAGAGGACTACCTGGAAATCCCAGGTAATGTTGCCTCAAGCCATGAGTGAACATTAGATCATGGAAATTAAATTAGTTGGAAGAGTCCATAGGCCCCTATTGTATTGCTAAGAGGCCAGAAAAAGAAATGAGGAAAATCAGGAAGGGAAAAGGACATGATCATTAAACTGCCTTGGTTTTAGTTTTAGCCACAGTAGTGGTTAGAGCACCATTTGAAAAAAAAACATGAAGAGCAGTCTAGGATTCAGTTACAGCTAATCTAATAAAAATGAACACAGACAATCATGGGCACAAACTGTGACAAAGAGCAACTTTGGAGTCCAGTCAGGCCAGCTTGGCATAAAAATTTGTTTTGTGCATGTACCATGTCAATATAGATTAATTAACAGTCCATGAATCAAAGCAGTCAAGCAGTCATATCAGAGTTATGTCACACAGTTTGGTTAACATTACATAAAATGTTAATATACTAGAAAATAAAGAAGTACACTATTTTCTATGCAAATTGCTGGGAAAAAGTACTGACAATAAAGGAGTGGACTGTGGACACAGAGGTTTGCAAAGACAGTCCCCCAACAACATGGTCACCAGCAGATCATGTTCTTATCCCTACTCATTTACTGCTAAAACAATCAGTTGCTGACAGATAGAAAAGAACATCTTGAGATAATTACTTGGTAGCTTGCACATCACCCCTCCAGAGTAAAGCAGTACCCAGAGTACAGAAACATCAACTACATCACTGCCTTTGCCCATCTCCTTTTGCATCTTTGCACCTCACCCAGGTTTCTAACAAACCATATCCTCACCTTAAACAGCTGCTCATACATAGACACACGAAGAAAGGGCAAAAAGAAATCAGCCTAATATTCACACATCTGCATCAGAGAAAAACCAAAACAATTAATTAACCAAAACCCAAAACCTGGTGGAGATGATAACCTTAAGACAACTGGCTGCCTCTTACAGTATGACAGCATCTGCCTTCCTATGTTCTGCATCCACAGCATCAACATTCCTCACTGGAGGGCCAAAAGAAAGCTTTCTTGGGCTCCAGCATGGCAAACAACTGCAGGAAATGCATCTTCAGCAACACGATGTTTTTACGTGGCATCTTATTAAAAGCATCTGTGACTTCTACAGCTGCAAGACCTGCTGTTCCTTACAGCTGGCAGTTCAACACCTGAAGGGGAGACTGGACCTTTCTTTTATATTGGTGTCTTCTTTTCACTGCACACTGCAAGAAAAAAGGGCATCCCTGACCACCCTCTGAGAAGAGCATATCTGATCCTGCCAGCAGGAACAAAGGCATAACAACAGCACTTGTATCCCTGAGTTCTTCTGCCTGTTGAGAGAAAAATAAAACACTCACTATTCCTTTTATACACATGCAGCACTGGGGAAGGACATCCCACCTGATAGGACCTACTCCCTGAGAGCTTGAGCAGTCATCATCCAAGGCTTATTTCCTTATTTCTTACGCTGGAAGCAATAAGGGGAACAAAAGCATTTCTTTGAGCTGTTCAGTATCAGGTAGAGTAACCTACTATACTCATGAAGCATCCTAAAAAGCTTCTTCCCATATCCCTCCCCTTTCCATAACATATCCCAATGCTGCTTATGCCCTCTGGTGGCAGAAACCACACATTAGTATCAGCTGCGGGGGCGGACAAGTTGCCACGTCCCACCAGGCTCCTGTTATCCCAGCGGACTTTGCAACCCTGGATGATGTTTCTCACTTGCTCTGCAGGAGGTCAGGAGCCCGTGGAATTCCACTGCCATCCCAGCTGCAGGAGCTTCATTGCTCTTTCATCAGGAGACAGCTACAGAGAACATGTTGCTGCTATTGCAGCAATTCAGCTTATAATCAAAGCATGGCTTAATTCACACATGTATTTTGTTTCAAACTGTGTTTCTGTAGAGGTTTTTGTGGTTTGTTTTTGTTTGGGATTTGGTTTTTGTTTTTAAGGCTATCATTAAAATAATATGGGAAGGGAGCACGCAGGGCCCACAGTAATGGCCAAAATATCCTGCTAGATATAATGAACTCATCACGGATAAAGACTGAATTTACAATGTTGCTGAATAAAATGAACATGAGTTTGATATTCAAAAGGTGCCTGGAGGACATCAGCACCATATGTTCTAAATGGGATTTTATTTTACTACATAGTTAATGAGCTGACTGGCAAGACCTGAGCTTTCTGTTTGCCCTGAGAAGGGCAGAAGGTTAGGAAAGCACACACTGTGCCACAGCTGGCCAACCCTCAGCTCACCTGGGAAAACCACATACCAAGCAGATACTGAGACTATGCTTTACAAGTTCATACTTTGCTTTATGCATAAACTTGTACTTGCCTGACTAAAGGGGTCATTTTACAACATCTGAGCTTTGTGTTTTTGTAAGCCTCCAGGTTAAAACAAGGCTTACATGAAGGCACATCTCATGGATATGCTTACAGGTACAGCTTTGCTCTACACACATGGAGAACTGCAGCTATTCACAGTTGCATTTAAAGTCATCCTCAGGGATAAAAAGGTAGCAAAAAATCCCTAAAGAAGAAGCAAGCTGCTCCTCCAGCAGAATCAAAAAATAGTATCAGTTTTCTCCAGAAGGATTTAAACTGATTTCTGCTGGGAGTTTTTTCCCCTAGTTTTCTTCTTTTCAACCTTCCCTTTTTTTTTTTTTTTTTTTTGCTTTATTTCCATTCTACTCAGCAGGGAAAGAAGTGAAGAAAATGAGAGAAAGTATCTTTCACTGGGGGTGAAGGCAAAAAAAGACAAAATTAAATATTTGTGAACACAGTTTGTGGTGAGAAACCCAGAATCAGACTCCCTGATAATAAATGGGATAATATGGTGCAAGAAGAGGACTAAGGAAGGACAGAATCCTACAAGTACTGTTTACACATGCTGAAGAGACACTCTCCTACATGACAAAATCTCTCCATTGGATAACCAGAGTTAATTATGTTTTGAAGACATGGCCTGGTTTAGGGAACAGCATGTCCTCACCAATGGCCTTTGGAAGTGGGCATTCACAGAGTCTTTTCTGCTGATCTTGAGAAGGTTTTTCACTGAAAGCTCATAAAATTCATTGAAGGCTTGTAGATATTAACTTCTCCTGCCCTTTTGAAGTTCACTAGGAGCTGTGTTTCAGAGGCATAATAAACACCCTGGAGTAGCACTGTTCCTGCCTACATTCTCCAGATTTGGGGCATTGATTGGTATATGTAAGACCTTACACAAACAAACAAACAAATGAAAGAAACTATCTGTAATATTTTACTGAGCTCTAAACCAGGTGCTGAATATTTTAAGGGCACACAGCAGTGTAAATTCCACTCTCTCTCTACAGTCAAACTCCCCTTGTCTCCACAGGGAGCAAAGCTGAGTCAAGACAAGAATATTGTTCTACCCCACCCTACCTGTAGGTCTGGAAAAATGATGCTTAAGACTCCTAAGACAGAGAGACACAAATAGAAGAAAGGGAAGGACACCGAGGAGACTTGAGGTGAGCCAGCAGCCAAAAGTCATAACAGAACATAAGAAAAAAATTAAGTCTTCATCTGAGACAAAACATGCAACATTATCTAATTTTATTAATACCTGCATCCACCTACCCTTTTTTTAACTGAGTCACATAGGCACTCTGTAGAGCTGCTTCCACAAAGTAGGAAAGTTCAAACTCAGAGTAAGTCACACTGCTGCCCTTGATACTCCTTGAATGTGTGTTGTTTAAGGTCTGTAAGGGGAAAAAAAAGAAATATCTTGGAATACAGGTAACTGTTGGAACTAGCCAGGTTCTCGTGAGCCAGTAACATCTTCAACAATTAAACGTTACACTTATCAGCTATTCAAAAATGTTATAAAATCGATTTTAAAATATACAATGACTTCCATGGGATATTCTGCATGCAATATGAGTTTTGAAACCTTTCCAACCTTTAATAAAGTAAGTAGAAAGCTGCATATTAACACCAACAGCTTGGGAAATACCACACAAATTACAAAGATCCAGTATGTTGCACAGAAATAACAATACAATGTTTGAGTAGCTTTATCTATTTCAATAAAACATAAATATTTGTTAAGATATAGCAAGCTATCAGGAGTCCTGATGAAAGAATCTTAATCTTTCCTCTATTTGTCCTATCAAATCTTCCTTGGTTGTGCTTCCTTGCTGGTAACAAGCTGCTTCCATAGCTGAAAATTGCCTCTCCAAAGCAGGGTTTTTCATCTAGCTCTGGAGAAGGACTATGAACTTCTACTGTGTCTGTCATCAACCCTGCATTTTCATGTCCAGAGACAACTATGTGAAAGAAGGTTGTAGGGAGGTGGGGGGTCAGTCTCCTTCCAAGTAACAAGTGATAGGACAAGGGGAAATGGCCTCAAGTTGCGATATAAGGAAAAATTTCTTCACTGAGAGAGTGGTCCAGCATTGGAACAAGCTCTCCAGGGAAGTGGTGGAATCATCATCCTTGGAAGTGTTCAAAAAGCATGTGGTGCTGGCACCTGGCAACATGGTTTAGTGGCAAACATGGTAGTGCTGAATTAATAGCTGGCCTCAGTAAATTCAGAGGTCCTTTCCAACCCTACTGATTCTATGATTCTAAGTGAATTACAGGTCAGACTCTTTTCCTTCTTCGCAGACCCAAGCTGTCAGTAAAAGAAATCTACAGTGTCCAGCACTGGCAGGAACTCATCCTTCCACAATGGAAGGACAGTAACAATTTCAATTTCAAGACAATTCCATTTTTTTTTTCTGCAGAGAAACAGAGCAGGTCTCTTCCGAGTTGTCTTTTTAAATGAATTTTTATACATGCACTAAGCTTACTTTTTCTTGTTCCAATGCAATTAAAAACAAAACCTGACACAAAAACACACCTTTGCTACTGAGAAGAGCAGAAGTATCTGGTCAGAAGGTCAAAGGCCTTTCAGTTACAGACAGATAACAATGCTGTTAACAATCAGTACTGCTGATGTCAAGCATAATGTGTGGCATAGGAAGGGCATGGAAGCATGTGGTATGTCTTCAGCTAGGCAAGGTTTGCATGTGCCCAGCAAATCAGCAGCACCTACTATCTGCATGGCTCAGTGGAAGGCTCCCAGTGTCCATCCTACCAACCACTGGCTAAGCAGCTACTTGCTACTAATCACAGAATGGTTTGGTTTGAAAGGGACCTTAAAAGATCATCTAGCTTCAACCTCCCTACCATGGGCAGGGACACCTTCCACTATACCTGGCAGCTCCAAGCCCCACTCAGCCTGGCATTGAATACTTCCAGGGATGGAGGACCTAGGTTCTAATGATCTGGATTCCTCAAGGTTCACTTGGAGAAGGTGAAGCACTGGTAATTAAACTGCTATGGCTGACCCAAAAAGGTTTCTTTCAGCTCATTAGGGATCTCAATAGCCACTGCTGTGCATCATTTACACAGCAGGTATGTAAAATGCCTTGAGTTCCTTCACACCAGCACCTGCCATGCAAAGTTCATAGTTCCTCTTAAGTAAGGCTAAACTTGAGATGCAACTTGTGCATCTCAAAGTATTTGGTGCTTTACCCCAGGCAGAACTTATTTCCAGACCTCATTCTCAGAAGAAATAGGTAGAGACCAGCTAAACTGCTGTTTTGCAAATGATTTTACTGAGACACCTCACTTCTTCCGATTTGTTCTCAGACTCCTTGCTATGATCACTTGACATTTCTCCATTTTTTCATTTTTGCTGACAAGCCCCTAGAAATTTCACCCAGGCCATACACTAAGCACATTTCTTCTTACCTTCTCAAGTTCCTGCAAGTACACCTGGGCAATAACACAGGCTCTCTCAAAACAAGCCATGACTTCCTCCTCCCTTTCACACAGTCGAGCACGTGAGGCAATTGAGTTGGTTGAGCGCTCCAGTGACAAACCTGCAAAATGGCAACATCATCTTTAACTGAAACCTACCAACAGCAGTATGGCCATATTATTCTTAATTTACCAGATGACAGAAAGGCTTTTCCACATGTGGTTTCCCTCTTTGATGACTTTCAGGACACTACCCCCATGAAAATACAATTCCTACACATGCAAGGCATCTTTGTCATGCTGCTCTAACACACAGTAACTGCACACTCCTATTGTCCCTTTCAAACACTTTATGAAGGCAGGACACACAATCCCTCTGGCAGGAATCAGCAATCAGAGAAATTAAGGCCTATATTTCCAGAGACAGCTACAGATCTTGGGTGCTTCAATTCAGTGCCAGTATGGCACTGAATTTGGTCATTTCTAGGCATCTGCTACTTCAAGTGAAGCTTTTAATAAGCAGCAGTGTTGAGGGGAAAAAACAAACAAAAAAATTCCTAACTGGAAAATTACACAGAAACAAAGTTGGAAATTCTGAGGCCTCTCTTGGAAAATCTGAGCACATGCAGATTGCTCATGGACACACAGCAAGCTCTTGGCAAGGCACAAGAGACTCTTAACCACAAGATCATTCCCTTTCCAAAGGAAGGAAAAACCCCTCGGTTTTGTACTACTGAACTTCTTTCTTGTATCATTATCCAACACCACCAATAAACACAGAGTATGCTAATTGAAGATGCACAGCTACTGGTCCCTACATTAAAAATTTCTACTATCAGACCCTTGTCTGGCATCATACTATGACATCCTTTACACACTTAAATCTAATTGGATGGGCTACACACCCATATCCCTGTTTTATTCTGATTGGTACAGGTTCTTATGCCGCACTGGATCTCTACAAGACACCTACTGCTTGAAAACTTGGATCTTCACCAATCACAACTGCACCGACACCTCACAGCCCAACACATGTTGCCAAAAGTTCAGCACGTGCTTTCCAATGGATTTTTTATATAACAGCATTCTCTAATAACAGTGACAAACATGTAAGATGCAATACAAAATTCTACTGTTCCTGACACAGATCCACAGAGGTGACAAAAGAAAAAAAGAATTCAGCTGTCCAGACAGCTCTCCAATGAAGTAATTTCAACTGCTGCAGCACGTAGCAAGGGATTTGGGAGGACCCACCACAGGCACTAGCCATGCTTTCCTGGACTTTCACAGTTTGAGAGGCACAGCACCTCAGTCTGCCCACTCCAGGAGTCTTGGCAATAACCTGCTGTGAGGCAGAATGGGCAGCCAGGCTTCCCCATGATGTATGATACAGTCTGGGCACTCATGCTGGAGAAGCCTGAGGTTCCTATGCAGTCTAAGCTTTGTTTACTTCTAATGTTCAACATTTGTTCTGTCCCCTTGGTTACTCCACAAGGAGTTTCCCTATCTCATGTCCTACATTTGAGCCAGACATAAGTTAGTTCAGTGGGTTGGGAAAAGGCCTCCCTGGTTCAAGCTCAGGAGGTGGCTCCCCATTCCTTCTGTCCTCTCACAAGTCAGAAGTACACAGTGTGCTCCCTCAAAGATCTGTATCTTGAAGGAACACACGTTCATACCTTTCACCTCTGAAAATACAGACCAGAGTAGAACAGGAGGACTGAATTTATTTCAGACTGACAGGGTGTGTGGGACGGGGATGACAATCATTTTGCTGCTTTTAACTAATGCCCAATCTGTGTTTTCTTCTTCCTTCTGGAAAACACCTTGTACAACATCCAGATATAACACATTTTGTCTCTAGTTCATCTATGAAGTCTCTGTCTTTATATCATGGGTTGTTTTCCTATTATTTTGATGGTTCCATTCTCCAACCCTGTAACTTTGTAATGAGTGAATGAAAAAAATGCTCATTAACTCTCTCTACAGGCAAAGAACAAACCAAAAGTATTCAGCACTACAGTCAGAACAAATAACCTACAAAAATTCTTCTTACACCTGTCTCAGTTTTATCTACCTCTGAATTCCTAGTCATTTCCCTTAAGTGAAAATAAATTTTAAGAAGTCTGCATTTCAGAGCCATTTCCCTTAAGTGCAAAGTAGGGTTGAGGGCCCTGCAAAAAAAATCCAGTACAATCCACTGACATTCATATACAAGCAGCATTTAATCAAACTGCAAGAGCTATCCTAACACAGTCTGTATGGGGGTGTTTACCGTGGGAGATGTCACACAGATAGAAGAGGCTGATAAAAAGCCATTTACATACATGCTACAGCCCACTGCAAGGAGTTACTACCTCTAAGCTCCGACATGGGGGAGGAAAGCAAGCAGCCTCTGCCAGCATCAGGTACTGACAATAAACATGCCCATCCATGCAAGGCAGAAAAACAGAGCTGGGGCTGATCAGAGACAGGGGAAGGAACATCTCCTGAAGGATTCTTGCCATACTAAGTGTCCAGCAATACACAGTGTGTTGAAACAGATACTATGCTACACTGCACTACTTGTAAAGGGCTAGAGGGAAAAATGACCCACATGATGCAACATTAGTCATGGTTCTCTCTCTGTTACTGTATGCACTGACCTCATGTCATTTGAGTACAAAATCTTCCACAGAATCCAAACAAGGCTATTCTTCCCTACCACAGAAATGCAATGAAAAGAAAAATTAGAGCAAGCAGACTGCAAATCCAGTATACAAGGGGAAGAACAGAAGAAAAACAACGTAAGTTCCCTACTCTTGCAGCCACCAATTCAGTTCCCACAGTACAAAGCCCCAAGAAAAAGACAGGCTTAGGATGCAGTTGGGTAAGACTTGACAAGCCCACCAGCACAAAGAGCACAAATTCCACTAATTCTTGTCCATCCTCCAGTTAGCAGCACAGAAAAGACTGCAGCACAACACACAATTTAAATTCAACTCAGTTTCCACAATGTGTCAGAAAGCCACTCAAGTGCATGTTACTTCCACACTGGGTTTAGCAAGAAAAGTAGAGCTATTGCCAAGACAGAATTAGCTTCCAAGTAAATCATAAGGCAACATGCTTTCTTGTTAGCTGGTTAAGGTAAAGGGACTCAGGTATTTTTCACAATCAGCTGTGGTAAGAAAATACCAACTTAAAGCTTACCTATCCTAAAATTGTTCTTATATGAATCAGGTGCCCAAATTTAAAAAGATACATACCTATATACTGTAGTAGTTTATCATACAGTGCAGACAGTTTTCTAATAGAGTATAGCCCAGACTCAAGGTTTTGAGACCTGTTTCAAGACTATCCTTCTTTAAAAGAACAAATTCTACCCACTTCAGAGGAAGTACCTTTCTATGTATAAAAATGCTGCTTTTCTCTCCTGCATAAAGGCAAAGCTTCCATTCAACTCTTCTAGTACTCCCAATGATTCATCTCTGGCTCTTCACCTTCCTATAATCTTTGCCCCTTCTTCCCTGCCTCCAAATCTAAGCTGCATTTATGTAAGAAAAATCCCAAATCCATAAGGTTTGTAAGATGTACCACTGAAGTAATCTCTTCCTTGAGTTGAAATGCACTGCTCTCATATATGGACATCTGAAAGGGGAAATTTTATGAAGGTGTATTTCCACTTTCATCTCAGTCATGCCTGGCTAAAGGAAGACATTGATATTATATAGCTCCAATGCTCTAAGGTGATATTATTACCAGAACTGGAACATCTATGTGCACATGGACATGTGATATCAGAGTCTCAGCAACATAAATGGGATGAAAAGTCATGCTGGAAAGAATCCTTGAAGGTACATGGTCTGACTTGCTACACAAAGAAGGGCCAGCTCAGGTGTTACCCAGCTTGGTCTTGAAAGCCTCAGTGCACAGAGGGAGACTGCACATGGACTAGGGAGGAGACTACGGTGGCTTTACATTTCTATGGTTCATAAACTAGCTCACCAAATAGCAGCACTCCTCCTTCTAAGTACGAACAATGTACCAATCCTTTCCTTTTTACACAGATTTCAAGCTTCCTATACTTGGATGTATTTAGACAACCAGGGAATAGGTGCCAGAACTCACGGTCATCACTTTCACCAACAGTGCTAGCCTGCAGCTGCTAAAATCCCATGGCCCAGGAGCATCAGGGCTACCTGGCAAGCTGAAGAAGAGATCAAAGAAAAGCAACAGCATGAAGAGCATGAACCCAAACTCATGTGTTGCATCCCAGTGCTACGTGTTAAACACACCTATGGCAACCTGAAGCAAAAGACATCTTAGTGTGGAACTTACAGCCCTGCCAACAGCACCAGCCCCAGTCTGCAGAGTAAGGTTCCACTGTCTGTGCCCCTGGGCCACACAGACAGGCCAGCCTCTCCAGAAGACAGTGTGATGCTAAGGTAAGTGCAATAGTTTTACTCTATGTACAGGAAGGTAAGTCATTTGTCTTGAGGTAAGCCATGCATGATGATATTGCATGGCAACAGCAAGGAAACTGGTTGTGTGCACATTTCCATCCTGGAGAATGCCAGGTCATTCTGGGTCAATGTCCCCAAGCAGAGGATGCACTTCACTTCTACCACGTGGCCTTCAGGCTAGCTCAGAAATGTGGCTCTAGGAAATTAATTAGCATTGAAACAAGACTATTTTTAAGACTTCAAACATATCCACGTGCATGCTGACTAATCAACATTCATCAGAATACCAAACACTTTTCAGAGACAAAATTCAAAAGCATAGCCACACCACTCTAGAGATGGTATTACAACCAGTTTGCCCTGCCAGCTAAGGTTTAAACTTAAGAGCACGGTCCTCAACTAACCTATTCCATTACAGAGTCTTGGAAAGCAAAACAGCCCAAACCCCAAGAAGCAGCAGTTGGGATTAGTTAGACACAGGCAAGACCCAGCACCATGCATTATTTCTGCCACAATCCACAGCAGTTTAAATAATTCACAACCTAGTCTAGACACTTTTCTCCCCAGCAACTAAGCCATGATTTTTTTCAGCAGGACTTATTTGTAGTGGAAATAGAAGAGGGGGAAGAAAGGCCTAGAAGCCCTTGATTTTGAACACATTGATTCATACTGCAGCCCATGAA